ATTGGTCCTCCAAGTATTCCTGTATCACTGGTTCTCCAAGTATTCCTGTATCATTGGTCCTCCAGTATTCCTGTATCATTGGTCCTCCAAGTATTCCTGTATCATTGTCCTCCAAGTATTCCTGTATCACTGGTTCTCCAAGTATCCTGTATCATTGGTCCTCCAAGTATTCCTGTATCATTGGTCCTCCAAGTATTCCTGTATCATGGTCCTCCAAGTATTCCTGTATCACTGGTCCTCCAAGTATTCCTGTATCACTGGTCCTCCAAGTATTCCTGTATCACTGGTCCTCCAAGTATTCCTGTATCACTGGTCCTCCAAGTATTCCTGTATCACTGGTCCTCCAAGTATTCCGGTATCACTGGTCCTCCAAGCGTACCTATATCATTAGTGTCTTCACATACATACATATATAAATGATGTGTTCACAGTGACATATATCACTGGTACCAGTCACATATATAGCACAGAGGGATGCATTACCGTCATGTAACATAAATGCAAGAATGTTGACAAAAAAGAAGCAAGATATCAAAGGGTTGAGTCGCCAGGAGGGCGGGGGACGTCGAGTGACTTGATCCTCCTTATGGTGTCCAATCCCTTCTTGACCCAGGCACTAGTTGGCGGGAGCCACACTTTTGGCGGAACCACGCTTTTGGCGGGAACCACGCTTTTGGCGGGAACCACGCTTTTGGCGGGAACCACGCTTTTGGCGGGAACCACGCTTTTGGCGGGAACCACGCTTTTGGCGGGAACCACGCTTTTGGCGGAACCACGCTTTTGGCGGGAGCCACACTTTTGGCGGGAACCACGCTTTTGGCGGGAACCACACTTTTGGCGGGAACCACACTTTTGGCGGGAACCACACTTTTGGCGGGAACCACACTTTTGGTGGGAACCACACTTTTGGCGGGAACCACACTTTTGGCGGGAACCACACTTTTGGCGGGAGTCACACTTTTGGCGGGAACCACACTTTTGTGGGAGCCACACTTTTGGCGGGAACCACAACTTTTGTGGGAGTCACACTTTTGGCGGGAGTCACACTTTTGGCGGGAGTCACACTTTTTGGCGGGAACCACACTTTTGTGGGAGCCACACTTTTTGGCGGGGAACCACCCTTTTGTGGGAGCCACACTTTTGCCGGGAAGCACGCTTTTGTGGGAGCCACACTTTTGGCGGGAACCACACTTTTGTGGGAGCACACTTTTGGCGGGAGTCACACTTTTGGCGGGAACCACACTTTTGTGGGAGCCACACTTTTGGCGGGAGTCACACTTTTGGCGGGAACCACACTTTTGTGGGAGCACACTTTTGGCGGGAACCACACTTTTGTGGGAGCACACTTTTGGCGGGAGTCACACTTTTGGCGGGAACCACACTTTTGTGGGAGCCACACTTTTGGCGGGAACCACACTTTTGTGGGAGCACACTTTTGGCGGGAACCACACTTTTGTGGGAGCACACTTTTGGCGGGAACCACACTTTTGTGGGAGCACACTTTTGGCGGGAACCACACTTTTGTGGGAGCCACACTTTTGGCGGGAACCACACTTTAGTGGGAGCCACACTTTTGGCGGGAACCACACTTTTGTGGGAGCCACACTTTTGGCGGGAACCACACTTTTGTGGGAGCCACACTTTTGGCGGGAAGCACGCTTTTGTGGGAGCACACTTTTGGCGGGAACCACACTTTTGTGGGAGCCACACTTTTGGCGGGAACCACACTTTTGTGGGAGCACACTTTTGGCGGGAACCACACTTTTGTGGGAGCCACACTTTTGGCGGGAACCACACTTTTGTGGGAGCACACTTTTGGCGGAACCACACTTTTGTGGGAGCACACTTTTGGCGGGAACCACACTTTTTGGGAGCCACACTTTTGGCGGGAACCACACTTTTGTGGGAGCCACACTTTTGGCGGGAACCACACTTTTGGCGGGAACCACACTTTGTGGAGCCACACTTTTGGCGCGGAACCACACTTTTGTGGGAGCCACACTTTTTGGCGGGAACCCACTTTGTGGGAGCCACACTTTTGGCGGGAACCACACTTTTGTGGGAGCCACACTTTTGGCGGGAAGCACGCTTTTGTCGGAGCACACTTTTGGCGGGAACCACACTTTAGTGGGAGCACACTTTTGGCGGGAACCACACTTTTGTGGGAACCACACTTTTGCGGGAACACACCTTTTGTGGGAGCACACTTTTGGCGGGAGTCACACTTTTGGCGGGAACCACACTTTTGTGGGAGCCACACTTTTGGCGGGAACCACACTTTTGTGGAGACACACTTTTGGCGGGAACCACACTTTTGTGGGAGCACACTTTTGGCGGGAACCACACTTTTTGTGGGAGCACACACTTTTTGGCGGGAACCACACTTTTGTGGGAGCCACACTTTTGGCGGGAACCACACTTTTTGGGAGCCACACTTTTGGCGGGTGCCACACTTTTGGCGGGAGCCACACTTTTGGCGGGAACCACACTTTAGTTGCCACACTTTTGGAACCAGCTTTTGTGGGAGCACACTTTTGGCGGGAACCACACTTTACACACTTTTGGCGGGAACCACACTTTGTGGGAGCAACTTTTGGCGGAAACCACACTTTTGTGGGAGCCACACTTTTGGCGGGCCACACTTTTGGCGGGAAGCACGCTTTTGTGGGAGCACACTTTTGGCGGGAACCACACTTTAGTGGGAAGCACACTTTTGGCGGGAACCACACTGTGTGGGAGCCACACTTTTGGCGGGAACCACACTTTTGTGGGAGCACACTTTTGGCGGGAACCACACTTTTGTGGGAGCCACACTTTTGGCGGGAACCACACTTTTGTGGGAGACTTTGGCTGGAACCACACTTTTGTTTTGGCGGGAACCACACTTTTGTGGGAGCCACACTTTTGGCGGGAACCACCACTTTGTGGGAGCCACACTTTTGGCGGGAACCACACTTTTGTGGGAGCCACACTTTTGGCGGGAACCACACTTTTGTGGGAGCCACACTTTTGGCGGGAACCACACTTTTGTGGGAGCCACACTTTTGGCGGGAAGCACGCTTTTGTGGGAGCACACTTTTGGCGGGAACCACACTTTAGTGGGAGCACACTTTTGGCGGGAACCACACTTTTGTGGGAGCCACACTTTTGGCGGGAACCACACTTTTGTGGGAGCACACTTTTGGCGGGAACCACACTTTTGTGGGAGCCACACTTTTGGCGGGAACCACACTTTTGTGGGAGCCACACTTTTGGCGGGAACCACACTTTTTGTGGAGCCACACTTTTGGCGGGAACCACACTTTTGTGGGAGCCACACTTTTGGCGGGAACCACACTTTTGTGGGAGCCACACTTTTGGCGGGAAGCACGCTTTTGGCGGGAAACCACACACTTGGCGGTAAATCCCACCTTTGTAACGCTAAACCATATATTTTTGGAATCCGACCCCTTTTGATCAGGAAACATAATTTTTCGGCGCGAGGCAACACCCTTTTTAGGTATGAGGCTATACCTTTCTGGGAGGAGGCTACACATTTTTTGAAGGAGGCTTAACCGTTTTGGGAGGAGGCTACACCTTTCTGGGAGGAGGTTACACCGTTTTGGGAGGAGGCTACACCTTTCTGGGAGGAGGTTACACCGTTTTGGGAGGAGGCTACACCTTTCTGGGAGGAGGTTACACCGTTTTGGGAGGAGGCTACACCTTTTTTCCGCGGGAGACGACGGGAAGAGAGAATTTATCGGCTGGAAATCAGAACATTTAAACGGAACGCAACATCTTTTTGGCGGGAAAAACCTAAGTTGTGCGTGAAACACAGTTACAGGGAACGGACCTCTTAGTGGAACTAGACGTTTGTAGGTGAAAAACACTTCTCTTTAGGGTACATTGTTCCTTTTTGCAGGAAATCTTGACCATTGAGGGGAACTATAATATAATAATAATAATAATAATAATATTTTATTTAGGAAAAGTACATACATAGTTGCAGTTACAAATATTCTGATTGATTTATAGATAGAGGTAGTACCTACAATAATCAAAGCCACTAGTGCGCATAGCGTTTCGGGCAAATTGTAGTTTTTAAGTAAGAAACTCAACAACAATGATGGGACACGAATCTGTCCTGGGGAAAGACATATTTTTTTAAACAATGAAACAATCATTATGGAGGTATATTGCGCTGCTTCCCCCCCCCCCCACACCCTCCTCCTCACCAGCACCCCTACTGCCTACTTCCCTACCATTTGTCTCCGCCCCCTCCCCTAGTCCTCCCAGTCAGTCCAACCCTTTCCCCCCAATATGCCTCCCCATTTCCCTCCTTATTCCCATCTCCCACTCCCCCACACCCGCCCCTAACTCTTCCCACCTCCTCCCCCAGTTCTTCCCACGCTACTCCCTACCCTACGATATCCCCCTACATCTCCCCCTTCCCCGGCTCTCTCTCAACTCTTCCAATCCCGCACTCTTTTTTACCCCACACACTCCCCTTCATGGTAGGGGGCCACCATGATGGTGGGGGGCCACCATCCTGTGGGGGCCACCATCATGGTGGGGGCCACCATCATGGTGGGGGCCACCATCATGGTGGGGGGTCCACCATCATGGTGGGGGCCACCATCATGGTGGGAACATAACCAAGACGAAGCAGCGAGTATAAATAGACCGTGACTTGAGATGAGACGACAATACGGTTCCTCGCGAGCCACCAGGCTCCGTCTGGGGCTGGCTCCCTGGGGCTGCCCCCCCCCCTGGGGCTGGCTCCCTGGGGCTGGCTCCCCCCTGGGGCTGGCTCCCCCCTGGGGCTGGCTCCCCCCTGGGGCTGGCTCCCCCCTGGGGCTGCCCGCCCCCCTGGGGCTGGCTCCCCCCTGGGGCTGGCTCCCCCCTGGGGCTGGCTCCCCCCTGGGGCTGGCTCCCCCCTGGGGCTGGCTCCCCCCCTGGGGCTGCCCGCCCCCCTGGGGCTGGCTCCCTGGGGCTGGCTCCCCCCTGGGGCTGGCTCCCCC